TTGGAAGTATGGAATATCCCTATTTATATTTTCCTTAAACATAAGGCTCAATAGTATAGATAGAAGACATTATAACATTCAAGGAGCAGAAGAATCAGAGTATTAAGCAAAACTTTAAATTCTTCGCTTCGGCTTTTAGACATAACTTTTTTCAGGACTTTTTATATGAGGAATGAAAACCATGAGAACACTCTGAAACAGAATTGTTTGCTTTTTGCAACGCAAGCAAGTATTTTGAAATTTCAAACTATCGGAAATTTTTAGGATTGTTGTTTACCTGCATTTACGTTAACACAAGAACGCAATACCAAACATGATTTCTGAAAATGTATCGTAAATATCTAAAAAAAAGAATTATTTTCTTGTAAAAGGAAGTAAAAGGATTTACTTCTCTTGTTATTTTCTTCATAATTATCAAGGAACTCTTTACCACATAACTGTTAAGAATATTTTTCTGTAAAAAATTATTATAACTTTATGAAATATTATACAAAGATTATTATTTACTATAAAAATTAATTTAATTTAATGCAGACTATGATAATGTTTGTCTTTTATATGCTTTTTAATTAATTATAAAGATAAATAATGCATAATTTAAATATTCTTGAAAATTATTCATATTTAACTTACTTTTACAAATGAATAATAATTCGTTTTCATTGAACGTATAACCCGGTGAAATTAAAGCACTGACTGCCGAAATTCCAGGTGCTTGATGCAATTATCCTCATTAAATGTTGTTACAAATGGAACAAATTGAGGACAACCGAGCCGGTAACCCTTTGTCCTTGATTCAACTTCAAGCCAACTTGAGGATTTTGAGTTGGTAGAGATTTAACGTTCATCAGGTGGCCGCGGTAACCTAGTGGTCAAGGTAACGGACTCGTGGCCGGTGTGTCATTATTTCGAGTCTCTTACCGCTGAAGACCCAGCGGGCAGAGAAAGCAGATGCTAGGCTCACACGTCCTCCCACTGGTGTGGTGTGAAAGTTAGGAAAGGAGGGCAAGATCAGGTGTCGTCCTCATCACTAGACAGTGGTTAAAAAATACGAGGTCCCTCGCCAAAAAACACTCATGCAGCTGAACAATGTGACGTTAATATTCACTCACTCACTTACCGTACATCAGCTTATTTTGTGACGGATCTATACGCGTCCTTCCACTAACCCTCTGGGGAATTCTTTTGGGCCAGCATTTTCAACCAATCTTCTCCGAAAAAAGCAGAAAACGTGATATGCAAATTAAGTTTAATATATATATATATATATTCTTTGTTCGCGAGTTCGGCAGTTAGTGAATTGTGAGTAGATTAGAAGTGAAATGAAGTGGCAGTGAAGTGTAGACGTAAACAAAAAGTAAAGAAGCCAGAAGTTAGATAACAAGAAAAGGATGAGTTAAGCTAACAAAGAAGCGTTAAAGTCTAATTGCATTTGATTGGAAGACTGCCTAAAGTCAGGTATTGTCACTTCGTCTTAAGTTAATCAGTAGAGCGTTATAGTAGTAGTGAGGAAATTAAATAATTAAGCTCTATGTAAAGTAAATATTAGAGGAAAACCTGTATTATTGAACATATTCTCCCTCAACGAGAATCTCGTCTCTCTCCCGTTCTATTGCTGATTTGAGTTATCTTATTCTTAGTGTTATTTATGTTTGAGTGTTTATAGTGATAAATAAAATAATTGGAATTCATCACGTCGTATGACAATTTAGTTCCTTCCACACTTTTAGCGGGATCACACGGTGGAAGGGATGTAAATTCATTATAACTTACTTATTGAGTCTTCAGTAGCATCAGGACTCAAACTCACATTTCGCCAACGTCAGCAACGAGCTCATGCCCATAACCTCTAAGCTACCGCAGTCACGATTAATTGCTGAAATATACATTTAAGATGAGTCAAAAACTTTGCCGTACAAAAACATAGATACAATATTTCTTTTTATGGAATTAATACTTTAATTGCTTTCATAATAATATGTAGTTTTATGTCTGAGTTTAAAATTGGTTTTGTAATCCTTAACCCGTAGTTATTACGTGTTAAATATACCCACAATGATTATTAACTGAAAAATATATTGTATTTCGTTTTTACGCTAAGAGAATGAATTATATGATTTAAAGACATAAAAAATTTTCAAGCTAAAAAAACCTAATAACAATTAAGGATCAACAAAATAATGTTTATTAAAACTTCCTACCAAGTTCATTTCATATATAAAATCTAAAATAATTTATTTTTAGTAAATACACTAAAATACGTTCAGCGCGGAAACGCTTAAGACGAAGTATCGTTCATCACGAAATAATACAATGGACCAAACGAATTAAAATGTATTTTCATGCATTTTTGTTCTCTTAACACGAAAAGAAAATCACTTAACACGAAAAGATTTCTCTTCTGAAAATGAATAAAATACGGAAAACTAGCCATTCAGGCTAGATTAAAAAGGGGTGTGAAATGAAAGAGAGGTTGTTTCACATGTTACGTAGAAAGAAGACTTGGCTTTGTAATGCATTCGGAATAGCCTGTAAGACGAGCTAGTTTGTTTATCTAAAAGTTACTTACTCCCATCCCTACAAACGCCACATAAAAACATGACATTTTTCAACAGTTTTCTTTGAAGTTCAGTGACAAGTACAACGCAGTGCGAGTAAAAATCGGTGAGTTTCGTTCACATTATTTTTTTAATTTTAGAAAAAAAAAATTACGAGCACATGCCAAAAGGCTCAGGGGAAAGCAAATTGATATTTCGTTTGAAATAAAAATCGAGTTTCTTAAGGCTTTTGATCAAAAACAGAAGACGAAAACGGAAATATGTAAAGTTTTTTTTACTTCTAACACTCTACTTTATCAACAAAAATTTTAAAAAAGAGAGAAAATTACGGAAATCTTTGAATAGTTTTTATTAAATACATGCATATGTATGCATATCGATGTAAATAAAATGAATTCTAAGAAACTTAATTTTGTTGAATATATGTTTTTTGTTATATCATTTAACACGAAATTCTTTGGACATGAAAAAATATTTCAGTCCTTCCAGTTTCGTGTTAAACCATTTTCACTGTATAGGAAAATAAAAATACCTTAATCACCTATTTTTTAAAATTATATTTTATAATATTTTTACAGGATTAAATTATACAATACTATTTAAGGTTTTTTAACTTTTTAGAATAAGAAGAATATTTAAAAAAGGAAGACATATAAGTTTTTTTAAATTAAAATTCCTAACGTCATACATGCACAATCGAGGAAGCGTTTTTTCTATTAATAATTCCATTAAACTACATGTTACACAAAAATAGATTCGCATTTTCTTCCGAGAAAACGAAAAAGTTATATATTCTGAATTCATTTTGGATTCAGTTATTAGTTTTTGCATTAAACACACACTCTTTTAACAGGAAATCATCCATGTGTTACTAAAGTTTATTGAAGCAAATAAGGAGAATAGGAAGGAAAAGTAAGGATAAAAAGAAGGGTATTTAATCCCTATTTCATCGGATGAAATACTTTATTTACTCTGTTGATGTAGTAGCTTCGAAAAATTTACGGTGCTCTGATCCTGGTTGTGAAAATAATTCCCTTATGGTATGAGTGAAAGTTATTCACTGGAATTCCGTCTTTTTTATTTGGTATCTATTGTATTGATAAATTTGTTTTTTGTTTTATGATCTACAGTTGTTCAATAGAAAATAAACCCCCAACTCTTCTTTGCCTTACGGCCTGGACTAAAATCCAAGTGAAGGCATGGATGTTTCTAAATGTATAGTTCCTGTACGGCATTGGGGGCGGGGGGTAAAAAGCCGTCGAATGGCAAGTCCTCTCGTGAGTTTGGTGGAAGAGGAAGAAAGGTGGGAAGCCCCTGACTACATCCAGGATGTTCTCACTCAAAGTCAGAGTAAAATCGAACCAAATCGTACTGTCACCTGTGCAGCACTCAAAGCTACGGCTAACGATATGCGTACATTTAGCCCTTTGCCTCGATGAATTTCGTGGGCCTTGATCTGAAACCAATAAACAGGTGACTTTAGCAACAATAACAACCAATATTATAAATTCATTTTTTTCGTTAAAACTGTTGCTTAAAATTGAATTGTCTTTACCATTTAATATTGCAATTTAAGGAATATATCCCTAGTTGGTGATCATAAAGTTAAATACAGGAAAAAAAAGATAGAATTTCCCATAATCAGTATATTTTGTCTGAAACAATACATAGAAATCATTTAAGAAGTTTAAACATAAGGATAAGCTATTATTATTTCCATACTATTATATAGAAAAAAATTTAGTGCCATTTGGTTCAAACAAATTGCAAAATTTAACAACTATAAACAGAAATTTAACATATTTGCGAATAATATGCTATTGATAAATAATTGAAATGAATTAAAAGAGATATGTACGATTTACTTAGCGTCGCACATAATGATAGTGCAGTTATGTATAAAATTCAGTTTCATCGCAAACAAATTATTTGTAAAAAAAAAAAGAAAAAACTTAATGCGAAATTTTTTTTTAAAATTTAAGAATAGTAATTATGGATTTTGAAATGTTTAAACTTTAAGCATTTAAATCATTAACGCTTTTATTTTGAAGGAGTAACATATTTTTTTTTCCAATTCCTACTATTAGTTCACTCTGTCCTTGTATACACACACACACACACACACACACACACACACACACACACACACACACACACACACACACACACACACACACACACACACACACACACACACACACACACACACATATATATATATATATATCTTTTTTAATTTTACACTCGCTAATAAAATACTTTCTATTCATCTAGTCAAGTTCCAATACATTTTTTAAAACTTGTAGTGGATGTCACTAGATGTTAATACAGTTTTTCAAATATTATTTCATTAGTTAAATTAAAAAATGAATCAATACTTACAAAAATAAAAAAATTATAGTTCAGTAGTATATATAGAAAGGAAGATTGTTCGTTGTCTCCATGTAACGCAATGGATAGCGCGTTGGACTTCTTATCCAAAGATCATGGGTTTGAATCCCACCTGGAATGGCCTAATTTCTGAGAATGTGATTTTTTTAACTATACTATTTTGTTTGAATAATTAAATTTCTTTAATAAATAAATAGTAACAAACAAACAAAATTCCAACACCACATATCAGCGTTTATTAAACGGTGGGGCATGACCCTTAGGGGGCTTTTTTAAACAAAATGAGGAATAAGAAAATAATTAGCAGGCTACGAGGAAATTTTGCGGGAGAAAAAAAACAACCTATTTTAGTTTTCCGACTATCTGTTATATTTTATGAAGCTTTCTACATTAAAATAACTTCAGTTGCTGATTTTTTTATATGTGTTATCTAAGATTTTATAAAACTTTTATTTTTATGAATTGTTATTTTTTCCCGTCCCCAACTAAAAATAATTTATATGTATTTGTATGCGAAATTATACCCCAACTTACGGGTTATTACTTAATCCCACCTATCGCGTAAGTTCGGGTATTACTGCATAGCAGTGCTTCTCAAACTTTCAATATTTTCGATCCAATATTCAACCACAATTTTCCTCACGCCCTCCTCCTCTTCTCCATACAAGTAACCATGTATCGAATTCAATACTATATTTTGACACTAAAGCTGCAATCCGACTTTTCATTAAGTACCACCAGCATTTATATACATCTCACTCACCCAAAGCCTTAATTTTCCCCCGGTCATATATTTACCTCTTTCCGAAGTATTATCTTTTCTGTGCACTGCTATCCACATAGAATTGCATTGGAATGAAATAAATAGAACCTTGACAGTGATTGTGAAGTATTTATTTCAGAGAATTTCCTTACTTATTCTCCCTCCCCCAATACATCACATACGTTCGCATACGTGACAAACGACAACATTGGGGAGCGAATCGCGTAAATTTTAATCGGCAGTTAAGGGATTAATTATAAACTGTATAATTTATCAAGATAAATGTTAATTGTTGTATATAATTTTATATATGACAAGCCCATGGGGGTCATTGGTAATTATTAATATTGTTCTTAACTTAGTATTGTTAAAATTAATTATAAAATACCTTGTACAGTACAAAAACATTTATAAGTGTATTATATCAGTGCACATTTTAATTTTATTTTTTATTTTGTCAGAATGTATTTTATTTGTTTACTTCCAGTAAATTAATATTTTTAAAAAATTTTTGTTTTCGATTTTTCAGTATGCTCGCGCCTCCATCGTAGTTTTATCACACCAGATTAGAGGGGGGGTGCACACCACAGTCTATACAGCAGTGTTGCTATACAGAGAAACACTGCTGTAGAGACAAATTCATAAATAATCTGTCAGGAGTTAAAAACTACATTTATATCCCATAAAGAAAAAAAAATTGTAACTAATGTTTCCTTATTAAGGGACTTATCTCTTGCAACCAGCACACAACTTTTTATTGAAATTCCGTACAATTATCATCATTGGAAAAATTAAAAACTAGTATTATAATGACTCAAGGTAAGCACAAAGAGTGTCCAACTAAGAAACTTCTACGAAAGAAAAGGGTTTATGTAAAGAAAAACACAAAATCTTTATACTTCCGGGAATTGCGAAAAACTTCCGCTTTAGTAGAAAATGGGGTGTTTCTGCTCTGAGGAGAAGTGCTTCCTGAGATGGTGTCATAAAACGGTCATTTCGTTCTTCGGCCCTTTAATGTGAACCTTCTTAGCATACAATGAGTTTCCTCTGACTAAAGTTTTCTTATCTTTAGCCAAGCCGTACAACTCAAGGACAAGTTTTAAGTGATGTTTGAGAAATATATTTACGCATATAAAAATGCCTGGAAAGATTTTCTAGCATATGTAGCTGGTAATGATTAACGAAAGTTAACATGATTTCTAGTTTGCGAATTTTTTTTTAACAAAGTGAATAACAGTTTTTATAAAGAGGAAAAATTTCTCAGGTTAATATGATAAAAGGTGTACTAGCATTATTTTGAAAAAAAAAAAGAAAGAAAAGAGAACAAAAAAGTTTTAAACAATTTCGAAAAATGTGATGGGCATTTTTAAAGGTGCTTTTAACGAAAAAATATTGAATCGCGATAAAATTATTGATATTTTTCTTATTGAAATACGAAGTATTAAGGTATCCGACTACCCTAAAAGTGTGAATTTTGCTAAAAATTGAACAAATTTTATGGTTTTTTATAGACCATCTTATTAGCTTTATAAAAATATCCAGTTTATTATTTTTCGTTCACTAGTACAAAAACTACAAATGTTTTAATAAAAGCAGATGTCATTACTTTAAGCAAGATGCCATACCTTAAAACGCGTTTTATTCGAAATGTGTCTTTTTAAGAAGGCTCAAATAGGGAAAGCGATTGCTCAAAAAGTTTTGAAAATAATGAACTGGAATTTTTGTGTGTGTTCTGTATAATAGTAGAAGTGTTTTAACCTTCAGATTTATCAATCACTGTTTTATTACAAAATTTACAGTCCATTATATAATATATTCATTGTTATTTTAAGCAATTTCATATAATAAATATGGTAAAGTGCTCTTGTTTTTGTTGAAATTGAAATATCTCTTATCCTGAAGGTCATTTTAAAAATGAAAAACATAGCAACACATTAGAATTAAAAAACTAGTTCATAGACTTTTGGTACAGAATGGGCCCCATTTATGTTAATTTTGTCAATTTTTACCCATTTTTTCCAATTTTAGTAATAATAATTTATTTCTTAATTTTAGCATATATTTCTCAAAATGTACTAAACAAATCTAAAAACGACAAAAAGAGTCCCCAAATCTCCATTTTTTTAAAAAGAAGTTGTCGCAAATAATCGGATACCTTAACTTAGGATTAATGAGTGAATGTTTACGTCGATGTAAAGTATCCCTAAGGCAATGGACATCGTAATTTTGAACCTCGATCCAGTGACAAGGACAACATATGAACCAGCATCCCACTTTCTGCATTTCCTCTTTACGCTTTGCAGATTTAACGTGCATCAGCTCCTCCACACGGTGGGTCTTCAGTTGCATCAGGACACGGTACACGAGTCTTAGAAACGCCAGGCATGTTCTCTTGACTATGACTACTAGGCCACCATGGTCACAAGCTTCCGATTAAAAAATCAATGCTAAATAAATACAAATGCAATATTGATGATAGGATATGCAAGAAAACTATCGTATAGTATACTACATTGTTTTAATATTGCGGTGTGAAGTAGTATTATTTCATACGTGTCACATCTTATGAAATTATGTCTAAATTAGAGAATGATTCCCATCACAGCTTTATATTTATTCTTTATGAAATTTTTAGTCTCTAAATGCTTACAAGGTCTATAATGTATAATATTTTAAGTGAATGGTACGGATTGTCCGAGTTTGGGTAAGCGATTTTGTTAGTTAATTCTGTTTGGAAAACAAACAAACAAACAGAAAAATACTTGCTGAAACTTGCAATTTTAATAAATGACTTGATGACGAATAAGATACATTATAATTTGCTTTTATTGTAATACAATAGAAAAATATAATCAAGAGGCAAAAATGAAAATGAAAATTCTTTGCAATAAAACTTTAAATTGAATATTGATCTTTAAGAAAAAAAAATGAAGAATTAATTCCACAGAGCAATCACTTTTGATTCCGAAACAATAGTTTTGATAAAAATATAGTGATTTTTTTTATGGTTTTTTATTTCTTTGAAATTATATAGAATGCATTAATAAATATTTTGACACATACATTAATTTTGAGAAAAATTAAAAATATACATATATATCATAGTTTTTAAAATTTTTTTGTTTAATTTTAAGTAAATGAGTAAAGTATCGGACGTATAAAAAAGTAATTTAGACGAATTATTGGGTGTATAATAAAAACTGGAAATGCTTCTGGAAATAATTTATATTAACGGGTTTTTTTGAGCTTTTATATATAGTATTAAAAGCCTGGGATTACATTTAAGAGTTTTTATGTCTTATAAAGATCTTTTTTAAGGTATCTAAGCCCCATTAAACTTCGAAATATATTAGCGAAGCAAAATTAATGTTTTGTTTCACTTTAGAGGTACGAGAATTTGAATAACATCTCTTATAAGAATCAAATGCCTTTATGTAACTCATATCTAAATGATTTGATTGTTACGAAATTTAACCTTAGCGTAAATATTGTCACATAGAAGGAGCATTACTTTTATTGCTTTTATTTGAATTACGATTATATTGAAAATATAAATAAGGAGAAAAGTTTGCTTCTACAGCACAATTCTCAATACACACATATTCAGCTTTTTAGAATACTTAAAATGTAAAAATGATATAATTTCTATACTTAAATGCAATTCAGTGAACATTGAGAGAAGAACAATAGCAAAATGCATAATTTTGCTTCTTATTTTAAAAATTTAAATATTTTAGACATGAGAAAATATTTTTGATGTATATTCTTTATCTTAAAATTTGAACATTCGCGAAGCTTTATATTATTATGTGTTTTTCGGATAGTAATTACACTTTGAAATTTTTATCCATTTTTATGAAACTATACATTTAAAAGACATTTTACACAGAAAAAGGATCTTTTTCTTTGCATTTTCTCTATTTTGTAAACAACTATTTTCAGTATAAAAAGGTTTTTTAGCACATTTCATTTATAAATTTTTTTTTACATACTTGACAGTAAATATATAGTTCCAAGTATTTTCAGAATATTTATAAGAACTTTTTTTCAGACAATATACGTCTTAAAATTTTATTTTTATGCTTTCAGAAAGGAAAGCAAAATAAATAAATAAATAAATAAAATGCAATTTTTTATCAACAGGGGTATTTAATAAAAAGAAAACGAGCAGAAAAAGGCGAAATATGAGCAAATTAGATTATGATATACATTCTGAATATGTTATGAATTTTTTATAGCATATAGAACTCAATGGGTATTTTTGTGTTCATCATTTTATACTTCTGTGTTTTTCAATAAGTGTTTTTGAATAAAATATTTCCATTGTTATTCGATAAATTTTAATCGAAAGAATTTA